CTGATTTTTCTATTTAATTTGTTTGAAGGGAAATGCTGCTAAGAGGTTTAGATATGTTGTATCTAAACTCTAATAAATATTCTCAGGAGCAGTGATATGAGCTGAATTAAACCCAATAAAATAAAATAGAGATGGATATTACCATTGAGTTCACCCCGCTCATCAGTGCAGAAATTCACCCTGAAGCACCACAGATGGTTGTTCAACCTTTACTTCACACGTTTAGTGAACAAGCACCCAGCATTTCCTGGCAATAGATTTGACTGTAGAACTACTGTTAGGAAACGTCACCAAAATTTTGATTCATGGAACTTAATTCATTGTTTTATGTATCTCTCTTGGGATGATAGAGAAAAAATGTTCGTTTTTATATTAAATACAGTATACAAAAAGTGTCAAAGAACAGTCCCAAGTTATCTTTTGTTACCTATGCTCCTCATGCGACTCAGTTTCCTTATTTGATATTCTTTTAGGTCTTCTTTTCTAAAGGCTTAACATCTCCAGAGCCTCTCTTCACAGGACTTACTTTCCAGTCCTCTGATATCTTTCTTGTTCTTCTCTGAAGTTTTTCCACTTTCTTGGGGAACGTGCCTTCTGCAGGGCCAAAATTGGATGCAATATTCAAGTGGGTCCAATATACAATAGATTTATCACTTCCTTTGATTTGGAAATTAATTTCTGTAAATGCAGCCTAAAATGCAGTAACATTTTTTTCAGCCTCATAACGCTGCTGACTTATATCCAGTTTGTAGTCAACAATGATTAAATCTTTTTCACATTAACTACTGCCAAATATAACCCATTCTATATATCTACACTTGATTTCTTTTTTCTCTCTCTATACAACCAGCTTAGAGTTTTATCTTAATACCAGTATTTCAGTCCATTTTTTGGAATTTTATTTTTGTCTTCTAGCATATTAGCATTATCTCATCTGCAAATCTGATAAGACTCGTGTTACTTCTTCCTGCAACTCATGAATACAAATATTGAAAAGTATAGGGCCCAGGAATTAATCTTTTGACATCCCATTTGAAACCTCACTTCAATTTCATGAGGATTTTTGTGATTAGTGTTCTTTATGTACAGTATAGTTTTCAGACCTGCTATATCAGGGGTGTCAAACTGCCAGCCCGTGGACTGGATACATCATGCCAAAACCGCACCCACCCCATTGCTGGCACTGGGAAAAAAGTCACAATACTCACAACACGTCACGTGACGTTGCGAGTTTGACATCCCTGTGCTATATCCTTTTAATCATCATGTCAGCACACAGGTGCTAATTAAGATGTTATGCTTTTTAAAATTATCCAACTAGCAAAATAGTATCAAAATTATCTTCCAAACCTTTCGAAAACCGGAGATTTGCCCTCAAGTCTTTCGTTTGCTTGTTCTCCAAAATCGAGAAGTTAATATATAAATATTTAGCCAGACCTTCAGCAAATTCCTTCAGTACTTTAAAATTAGTTCATTCAACTTTTAACTTATTCCAAAGGCTGATGTATTAAGAAGGAGGAATATCCTTGAAGAAGAAGAAACACAACCAAGACAATGGTCAGATAAAAGAAGTTTGAGTCTGAGCCAGATGTGTAACCTAAGAAAGCATCTGAGACAAGACTCTCCTAGTTCTCATGAAGATTAAGGGAGGGAGATGGGAAGTGCATTCAAATTTGCAATATTTTGTTACTATAAACTTGGTTTCCTAGTCTGATCTGCCTTAAAGGACTGATAAATTATCTGCATTACCTAGTTGTCCCATTACCAGTCTTTATTTTATGTCATCTTGGATAGTCTTACCTATTTATGCTAAAGTGCTAAATCTGATCCTAATTAACAGGAAGAACCAGCTGAAGAGAGAAAAGTAGTGAAAATTTTACAGGGAACAAGTACATATTCTTTGAATTCAAGACATACAGAAAGGGAAATTGGGATATAGTCATTTAGACACGGTAGATTTTATGACACCCAATTTCAACAATCTTACTGAATTCCATGATCCCATGGAAAAAACATTGAGGTCAAAAGGAGCACAAGAGGATGATAGTTTTCCAAAATAAGTGAGAATTTTAATCACTATTCCACTGAGAATTAAGCATGAGGTTAGTTTAGGAAGCCACTTTGAATGGACAAGGACCTTTTACTAAGAGTTATCCATTTCATGCATAAGAAATGGAAGATTGGTGACTCACTAAGGAAATGTAAGAGCAAGTAGCTAATACCTGTAGAAATTCAGACACACTAGAACAGCAAAGGAATCTAGTTTTATAATGGAAACATTAATTAAAAGGACTTTTAGCTCTCAAAATTAAGGGTTATTTGGGGAGGGGGGAGAGAAGTAGACCGACTGCTTGAAAAGGATAGATAGTAGCACATTACAGAAAGTGGACAGAGATCCTGAATTCCTACTTTGCTTCTATTTCCCCCCCCAAACAAAACAGTTTTCAACCAACTGAATCAGAACAATTTCCACGAGGGAGTAGCAATCCCAGACAAGTAGTAGTTAGGAAGCAATTGAGTACTATGAATAAGTTTAAGGCTTCAGAACCAGATTAATTATAACTAGTAAATTACCAAATGAAATGTCTATTTCAGCAGCAAATAAATACTTTTTAATATTACTTGAAGAGTCCTCAAATAAAAACAGATTGTATAAAATCCCTTGAATAGTTTAGCCAAGAGGGAAAAGGTGCCACATTTCCCACCCAATGCTTTAAGCATCAATGTTTACTTCCATGAAGTTTTTCATCCCCCACTCTCTTGTATCTCCTATATCCCATTTACCTCCTATATCCCATTTACCTCCTACATATCTTAACACCAAATAACCAACCAGCACTTTAGATTCTTGCCCAGCATTCTGTTCAACCACCATTACATAACTGAAGAAGTTATGCTATTTTATATTAAAATAAACTGTTGAGAATAATTCTGATAACTATTCTGTAGAAACTGAGAATAATAGAATGTTTAAGCCTCACTGGAAAGCTTTTGTAACAAAAAAAGTGTTGAGAAATCCAGCATTTGTCTACAAGCATGCTAGAAACAGAAAGCTTAAACGAGATGTGATTTTGCTCTTTGTATTAATTTTTGGACAGGGAAAGAGATTTCCTTCTCCCAAAAGAACATTCTACGGTATTAAGAATCACCAGAGTGCATTCCTTACTTTACAATGAGGTCATCAGAGACCTACTGGCATTTTGTAACTTTTATAACTAGAAGCATTTGCAGGAGAGGCCATAGGGGCTCATGGTGAAAGCAGCTCTGCATCATCACTGTAAAACTTCAGCCTCTTTTCTATGTGCATCATGTTATCATTTGGGCTACATTTTGACAAAAACATTGAGTAATGCGGATGTTGTTGACAATAATTTACAAATACGCAGGTTGAGCATACCTCGGCCTCAAATGAATTGACAAAACTAGACATACTGTTTTAGTCATATCTTTTCTGTGTTCATTTGACATGTTGGTAAGAAACAATAACTAGAAAAGGAACATGACTCACTAATAGCTGTTGCACTTATAGCTATTATTAATTAACAAACTGTGGGTATACTGAACTTCAGACAAATCACCTCAATAAATATAATAGTTTCTTGTGCTAAAATTTGTGATGTGAAGTCCTCATACATTCAAAAATAAATAAAATGATACTAAATCAAGTCATTAAAAAACAAACGAATGGAAACTTCTGCATAAAAGAGAATTGCTTCTAGCTCTTTAGATGATTTCAACTTTCATAGTAGGATAGTTTGGATTTGATATTGTACACAGTCGTTGCTATGTACTTTTCATAATGTCTTTACTATTTTGTTACAATTGATCTTTTTATTGAGTCTTTGTGTCTGAAGAAACAAATTCTTGCAGCATCTTTCCTTCCTAGCCAGAGAGGCATGATATATGATATCCTCTGGGTTTTTGGGGAAATAAATTTACACTGGGCAATTATATGCATTTTTTTGTCACCTGATATCACAATTCTGATTGCCATCACTTCCTTTGCTTTAAAAATCTACAGAGTATACATGCATGTATATCTAAAACATGTCCAGCCATTTTAGATATGATTTATATAGAAAGATATGTACAGGAAACATCACAGTAGACATTTTGTCTTGGGTGTATGCATGATATGTACTGTAGGCTATACAAACTTTGCTACATTTTCATAACGAGTGGATGTAGAATTCAAGAGACTAAAGTCAGCTATATGATCTGAAAAGAAATTGAATGAATCAGTTTTTTATATTAATGCTTAGACTTTATGTTATGTCTATATGCAATGTCATATATTTGTCTGTGTTTAGAATAAGCGTTTAGAAGAAGTTAAGCGGCAAGAACAAGAACTTTTGGAAGCCCAGTCAATTCCACTGAGAAACTACTTAATGAAGCATGTGATGCCAACACTTATGCAGGGCTTGAATCAATGTTGCATGGTTAGGCCGGATGACCCGGTTGACTTTCTGGTAAGGGAATATCTATCTATCTATCTATCTATCTATCTATCTATCTATCTATCTATCTATCTATCTATCTATCTATCTATCATCTATCTATCTATCTATCTATCTATCTATCTATCTATCTATCTATCTATCTATCTATCTATCTATCTATCTATCCTATCCATCTATCCATCCATCTTCTTACGTAGGAGACAAAAACAATCTTCTTTTATTACTTATTTGTAAACCTTAGTTGTGCATCTAACTCACCAATACTCCATAACCTTTTGTAATTTGGCCTCTTATTTCTATTCATCATGCTAAAGATGATACATATTCTGTTATCCTTTAAGCTGTTTTCTAACCGTCAACTATAGTCATAAGCATTCTTTACAGTCCTAAAAACAGACTTTTGGTTGATTTTAGCTGTTGAGTCAGTCTTATTGGTATGCATAGAATATTGTTTCTCTTGTAGCAACATATTTTCCTCCCAGGTTTTATTATATACCTCAATTTGTAACTGCCTTCTACCATGGACAGTGCAATCCTATCTATTTAACATTACATCCCATTATGCAAAGGATTGCTTACTGCCAGGTATATATGGATATTTTTTTCTATTTGGAGACATGAAATGGGCAAGCATTAGCATATATAAGAAAATGATACATTAGTAGACTTTTGTAACACAGACTGGGCCCATATCAATAAAAAATAAAAAATAAAAAAGGGGGCTGAGATGAAATATTAAGTCTAATTTAGTTTATTATGTGATCAACATAGAATAACAAGGGAAGGGGGACAAGCTTATTCAGCTGGCATATAGTTTACAAACATTTCAGAAAGGTTCAACAATAATGAAAACAGGGTTGAAAGTGTGAAACATAGAAAAGATATAGGTAGAGATGTCAGGAATATTATTAGAAGTCACTGAACCAGTAGAAGCAAGATATTTTGGGTTTTCACGTTTAGGCTTTCATGATGGGATCCTTGTTTATGACCTTTCAACCACTATGCAGTATAGCCAAATTACAAGACAAGGTAATGTTGAAAATCACTGTACTAGCAATAATCTGTTATGAATAGACCAGTTCTAGGTGTATTTTTCTCCAATAGATCATAAATTTTGAATCAAGGATGTTCTAGCTGAAGTAATATCCAAAGTATCTGGGACATTGGATCCCACCTTTAAGCATTCCAAAAACGGGATGTAAACCTAACAATAATTTAGTCCATTTCCATTAATTTTAGGAAATGCAACACTAGCTTTAACCTATAGAGACTGAACATATCTTTTTACATGGATGTTTTTTTAATCAACAGGCAGAATATCTCTTCAAGAATAATCCAGAATTTGACTAGGAAGTCTAAACAGTTGCCCTTATGCCTTGTTAAATTTAATGTTAATGATTATTGTGTAATATTCTTGTAAAATATACATTCACTTTTGATTTTTTTTTCAAAATTAAGAAATCTAAATTGTAAGGGTACATACATTTATCTACAATGAATGACAACTTACAGACTACCTGGTAAAGTGCAGGAAGTTCCTTTAAAATATTTAAAGAAACACCTTCAAAATTATTGTTCCTGTAAAAGTAAATATCTAGGTTATCAAGTTTATGACAACACGTACTTAAGTTGTGCAGTGAAGGAAAAGACTATTGGTCCTTGTTCAGTTAACACCAAAAGTCATTTTACAATGCTGCTATATGGAAGATTATTCAAAGTTATTTCTCTGCAATTAATTCAGCTTATATTGACAGAATTATAGTTTTAAGCCATTTTTTCCATGATATAGCATCAACTAGATATCCTTGAGGTAACATAAAGCAATAATGAGATCATGCTTTGTATCACCTCTGATAGCTGGGTGACATTATAATATGAGGACTGAATGAAAAGCAATGGTACAAGTGACCAACAATTGACAGTACTGGCATGCTAGAAGCTTTCACATCTCCTTTAGTATCTATTCTTTCTTTTCATTTGTTGAGAAGTTGCTATGAACAAAACTTATATTGTTATTGCTTGTGAAAAGGAAGCTACTAAGCCACTAAGTGTACTTCAATGATTAATTGAATTTTTGACTGCTAATGGAACATCTCCGTTCCTCTCCCCCCCCCCCCCCATTATATTCACCACCAAATTCAGGGTGTTTTGGTGATAACTGTGTTGATGTGAATACTGAGTAGCTGGACCAAAAAATGTGAAACAATGAACTGGGAAGAATTGATTTATAATATCAAAAATGAGGTGGACAACCTATTTTACAGCAAATGATGAGGTTGTTGAACTGATTAAGGACAATTGATGAAGCCAAAGAAAATTGCTGTCAGGCTTGGCTTTTCATAGGAATATGTGGATCATATTAATAATATTCTTCAGTATTGTCATCCCTCTAGTGTCAAAATCCAAGTTTGGGCAGGAAATGCTTAGAGGCAGTTTTTGCTTACTGACCATTCATTCAGCAACCATTTGAAACTACAATGTCGCTATAAAAGGACACTTACAATTAATGCTCAAAGTTCCCATGGTCACATGATCACAATCTGGACTCTTGGCAACCAGCTCACACAATAGTCGCAGCATCCTACAGTCATGTGATCACCATTCTCTACCTTCTGTGACAGCTTCCCACAAGCAAAGACAATGGGGAAACTGACAGTGGTCACAAGTCATGCTGTTGAACTGCTTGCATCCTTCCCCTGCCTAGCAGCACCTACTCAGCAGCACTACATTGTGTTGTGACTTACCTATCTGCTGGCTATGTACAAACAGCCAAGGACTCAATTTATGATGGCGATGGGGCATGCCAGGATTGTTGTCACTAAGTGATGTGGTCACATGACATCATGCTTTAAACCGCACCACTTGGTGATGAAATTTCAGTCCTAATTATTGTTGTTAACTGCCTGTACATATTTGTTGGGATGCAGATAATATTTATTCACATGATCTAAATCTGGCAAAACTACTATCCAAAGTGCTACTGTTTTAACAATACTTTGAAACAACAATCTGAAGGAAGGAAATGTTGCTGCATCTTGACAACCCCAGGCCTCAGTCCTAATGACATATCCAAGAGGCAACTGTAAAGTTAGATTTCACTGTCTTATCCTATCTGTCATACTAGGATTCATGTGATTTCCACCTGTTCCTCTAGCAAAGGGATATTTTAGTAGGCATCTGTTTGATTCAAATGAGCAGATAAAAACAACTCTCAAGACCTGGTTGAAGGGATAAAGCATGCATTTCTTTCATGATGGTCTTAAGAATGGAGATAATTACTGTATGTGGAAAAATAAACAGATGGCAAAAGGACTCATAGTTTCATTTCAATTATTAAAATAGCCCTATTTAAACTGAAGTTATGGAGGTGGAAGCATTACATTTCTTCATTATATATTCTAGTCACTAATGGAGAAATGCCCCGAGTCTTGCATTGCCTTTAACACTGATTGACAAAGTGCCATTGGGAAGCTCAGAAAGATGTAGTGTGTCACCTATTAGCCCCTGAATCTGGAAACAAAAATGATGTAGTTGGCCATCCATCTCACACCAATGACTCCAGATAGTGTGCAAGGATTAAAACAACTGTTACCAGCCATTACCCCCATAAACCTATCTGGAACCAGTGCTACTCAGAGAGCAGTGGTTACATTGATGTATTGGGAAAAAACAAAAACTACTCATGCCAACAAATTTTAGACCAGCTGCAGCTACCAAATACTCTTCAAGGGTGGTCCCATGCAGAATGTGTTAAAGTAATCCAAATGTAATCACTTTATTATTATGACTTTGATATGAGTCACTAGGAACAACGTCCAGGAATGGGTGAAATTGGTGCACAAAGCAACCTGTACAAACACTCCTCCAGCCATGGGTGCCATCTACTCATCAAGCAGATTTCATGAGTTCAGGACGCCTCCCAAATTTCACACCCTCACTGGTGAAGTGCATCCCCCAGCCAAAATTAAATCTCTGGAGTCAGGAATGAGGGTCAATATCTGCAGCAAATCAATCTAGCCAGTATTTTGAGCTAGAGCCCGTTCATAATACCACACCATGAACAAATGACTTCATTAGCTGCTTCATTTAGTTCTTAAACAGAAGTGCCAAGAGAGTAGAAACCTGAGGCACCTCTCAAAGTAGAATTTGACCTCTCCTCCTTCCAACACCAATTGGACTGAAATCCAAACAAAGGAGATCCACTATAACACAGTGCCTCCCAGTTCTCTAAGATGGGCCAGAAGAAATCCATGGTTAATGTTATCAAAGGCTGCAGAGAAATCAAGAAGGCAGGATGGATTCTACCGCCATATCGGTCTACCAGAGATAATCCACATTATTATTCCTGTCTCAGTTTATAACCAAGAAGGGTTCAGATAATTTGCTTCTTCCAGAACTGTATACCATCCACCTTCTCAGCTGGAGATTGGATAAAAATTGTCCAGATTCATTGGGTATGAAACTGGCAGCAATTGTCTGTTCATTGGGGTGGAAGCGCAAGACCAGACAACTGCCTCCTTCAAGGCAGATAGAATCAGCCCCTTCTGCAAAGAAACATTCACCATTACCTGACCCATCCATCACAGAAGATTTCAATAGGTGATAGAAATCTAAAATACAGGAGATTGAACTTAAACTGCTGAGAACGCTGTCGACTTCATCACTGATGACTGGCTTGAACTCTTCTAAGATAACTGGGCTAAATTCTACCTTAGGCAACTTCAACAGATCTGTATAGCCAGATTTTGAATCCAAGTGATTTGATACAATAGATGCCTAAAATGGTTCTTATAGGGGGCCTGCAAGCATTCCTGTGAGCCATACTTACCCAGGAGGGACCATAAGCCCATCAAATGGCACTTTGTAGACACAATAAAGGCAGAAAAAGGTTGCACTGCCCTTATTGCTCCATAGTAAGCTGAGTGTTCAATCAGGTCACTTTTGATTCAGATCTGAAGATCTTAGTTAGTTTCCACTGATAAGACTATTTTTCGGGAATCTGTCTCATCAGAAATAAAACTCACATAACTGCCTAAGTAAATGGGAATAACACTTTGGACAACAAAGTCCATATTCTGTGGTTTTTCCCACTGTTTGAATATTAAAAATACATTATCGTGAAGTTGAATAATACTTTATGAATCAATCATGCATAATACAAAGATTCTAGCCTTTTCGGTGGTATGACAATCTTATTGAGGTGGGATAACTGGGATTTATAAGAAGGATTCTCTGAGGATTTTTTTTTAAATTTTTTATTAATTTTTTCAAATAAACATATGAACAAATAATACAAATATGGTGCATTTCATTAGACAAACACATAAAAAGCCTAATCAGAAATAGTCGGCGGTCCCCCCCCCCTGCATCCACACTCCCTCCACCTTCCTACCTACTTCCCTCTTCCTTCCTCCCCTTCTTGACCACTACCTCTCCTGATTCTCTGAGGATTTTAAATGTCTTTCCTTGATAATTTAAGATGTCTTTATAGTGTTACTCAAAATCCTGATTTCAAGTCTCATCAACATTTTTGGTGTGCTCCATTATTCAATTCTTGTACTTAGAATGGCACAATCTGAATGGGTTCAGATGTACCCTAAAAATAGGATTAAAAACATGCAGCTCTCATAATACTGTTGATCTATAGCAGGGGTCCCCAACCCCCGGTCTGTGGACCGGCACCGGGCTGTGGCATACCAGCAACTGGGCCACGCAAACAAGTGAAGCCCCATCCTCTGGATGCAGGCAGCACACAAAACCACACACCCTCTGGTCCACGGAAAAATCTTTCTCCACAGAACTGGTCCCTGGTCCCCAAAAGGTTGGGGGCCTCTGACTAGAGTACAGATCCCAGAATTTTCTACCACCAGCTATGATAAGACTTTGAGGTTCAGACTTTCAAGCAATATTTTTTTCCCAGTGTTATCTGGTGAAACACATGATCTAAACTCCAAATATTTGGTTCTGCTCTTAATATTAAACTACAGCCTTTGGTACACATTTCAAATATGAGTGTATGCCTCTCTAACTCATCCTCTTTATCTTATCCTCAGGATATAATGATTATGTTGTCCAACTCTTGGTGATTCTATGGGCCAGGTTTTTCTACATCTTCTGATCCCTCAAATATAAACATAAATATTTCATTTGGACATTATGGGCAATAATTATGTACAGACATTTTGATAATTTTTCTTAGAAAATCCTGGCTTTTGTACACTTAAATAGTCTGTTCTTTTTATCCTTCTGTTCAGGCAGCTTATCTTCCCTTAATTACACAAGACTGGGTTCAATACTATGCTAAGCCATAAGATGATTTGTTTGGTTTTAAAGTATGTTGCATAAATACATCTACTAGTATCTGTTGTACAGCATGTTTCCAATTCTAGTTTATTCACAAATCATGGGTAATAAAATAATGGCTCAAATATATACGAACCAAAGAAGACATTAACAAACCATAATTTATACAACATTCTAAGAAAAAACAGATTACTATGAAGTGCAAACTTTACCTATAAGTGTAAATGGGAGATTTCTCTTTCAATCTCCTCCCGTTGCCCCTTTCACAAATAGTAAAGGGAAAAGAATTACCCTATAAATAAGCATCTCTTGCAACACCAATCAAGACGACTAACTTCCGTCCCTTTCCAAGGCGCATGCTCAGTCAGTGCAGGAACCGTTATCATTAAACTTTAATTCATTCAACTTCAAACGCCCGAATCGCCTGGAGGACTACATTACCCACAAACCATTGCAAAGCGGCGACATTCAAGCGCATTACCCTGAGTCTTCTTTCGTCACTTGACGCAGAGGGTGGGAAACGCCGTTGCGTCAGCACGTCTACTGGCCTCTGCACCGCTGCCCCTCCTTCTCCTTCCCATCTCCAGAACGTTGCTGTGGTAGCGCCTCGGCGCCATGTTAGGAGGCCGGAGGGGAAGAGGAAGAATTAGAAGCGGCGGCAGCAACAACAGCAGCAACTAGCAGGCCTAGCGAGAGGTTCTTTACCCTCTCTGGGAGGGCCCCAGCCAGGCCCATATCATGCTCACGGGGCCCGTTTGTCAGGGGCGGAAAGAGTGACTGTTCCAGAGAAGAAGAGACGGCGTTTAACCATAGCCGGAGAGACGATGCCGTTGTAAGTTGAGGCCCGCCAAAGGAGGGAGAGGGGCTGTCTCGGGCATACTCGTGAGGCCTCGCAGGAGCCTTGGGAGGCAACCTGAGTGAGCGCTTCCGGGCCGTGGCGAGTTCGCGGCCATTCGGCCGGCCGGCCGGCTTTCTTCTCGTGTCCACATTTCAGCCTCCCTTTTCTTTGGTCGCGAACTCACGCCGGCCTTTTAACTGCATCTTATTAGGCCGGACGGCATCTTCCCTCAGCCGAATCCATTTCCTCTTGCACAAGAGATGGAATCGGGCCGGGAGTCTCATTGAATCTCTCGTTTTTCCTTCTCCCCTCTTGCGACTTAACCGCACAACTTTGGGAGTCGGGATGGCTGGCGCTTCCTAGTCGCTGGCCCGGGCCTCGGCCCCAGAACAGAGGCAGCGACCCCGTTCCCTGCGCCGTTGGTGGCACTCAAGTGGCGGGTTGTTGCCCCGACTCACGTGGTGTCTGAAGCCGTTCCTCTGGGGACTGACTGGGAGGAGGGCGTCTGGGTACAAAGCTCTTGGGTGGCTTGGTCTTGTGGCGACCCGGACGTTCCGGGCATCCATGCTGCCTTCTTGGCTGGATTGGGCTGCTTGTTGTGACTCCGCGGGTGCTTGGCACCATCTCCGCCGCTTATGAAAGTTGCTCGCGGATTGCAACCCATCCATTTCCCTTAATGCAAGAAACATTCGGCAAGGGGGATTTTAATGTTATCTCTTAAGGAACGTTGGCGTACAGCTTCCCGTAACGTAGATCCTTACATTGAATTGTATGTGGTATTGAAGAATGGCAACTTACTCCTACCCCATCCTCTTTCCTCGCTTACTTCTGGCCTCAGACTACAGGCTTTCTGTAAATGTTGTAGTTTTGTTTTCCTCTATGGTGATATTTGTAACGTTTTGGTACGTTTAGGAATATTAAGATTGGAAAGCGCAACAACTTAAAACGAGTTGATTGGCATGAGCATTTTCTTCGGGCTACTTTTTTAAAGTAGTTTCCAAAGCAAGAATACTTTTGCTATCTTCTGTACTTGAAATACATACAGATGTACAAACTGTAATACTCATGTATGCTCGTAGAGCAGTGGTTCTCAACCTTTTTAATGCCGCGACCCCAACCGGTCGTAAATCGACTAAACTGGTTGTAAGTCGAGGACTACCCAACCGGTCGTAAGTCGAGGACTTTCCCTGCCCGGGAGCGCCGCACATGCGTGGTTCCGCACCCTGCGCCGGCCGAGGCGTAGCTGGTAAGCGGCAGAGACGGAGCAGGCCGACCACCAGCTGGCCCAGCCCAAGGGAGGTAAGGCACCCGCCGGAAAAGGGGGGAAAATGGCGGACAAAAAAAATGGCGGACAAAAAAGGCGGTCAGCCTTGCTTGGCGACCCCCATGAAATGGTCGATCGACCCCAAATGGGGTCCCGACCCACAGGTTGAGAACCACTGTCGTAGAGCCTGTGTAAAAATAGCATTAGGAAACAATTGCTATGATTTTTTTAATGAATATTTTGCAACAATTTAAATTGCAGTTGCAATTTAAATTCAGTACTTCAGACTGAATTTTTTTAAAAAAGTACATTGGAATGCCTTTGGTTGAGCACCTGCCATCTGTATGTATGAAGCTTCTTAAAGTAGCTTTAAGTTGTTGCAGATAAATGCTCTGCTTGGGTCTCCATGCATTCCAAAACATCTTTTTGGGAGCAAATTCAGAAGACTGACTTTGAGTTAAGGAAAGTATCACAGTTATGACTAAAACTCTTGTTAGGTTTACTGACAAATAACTGAAATTAGCTTGCTCTGTAAAGGTGGAAGAATTTGTCAATATCATTTCATTTTCTTACTGAGCATTCCAAAATCTTCTATTTTTCCAAGTATAAAAGAGGTTATAACAAATAATGAATAATAATTTGTGAAATAAATATAGCGGAGCCTGTAATATAACGTGCTCAACTATTCATTCATGGGCAATTAAAAAGGAAATGATTGTGAGCCATGGGTTATGGTTCACCATTTCTGTTGGTTTTTATCATTATCATGTTTATATTGGCAGGCTGGCTAATACTTCCTGTATCTTTTTAATGTTTTGATAATTTTGTTTAGGCTAATGGGCCGGTCATGGTTCCATATGAAATTGGATAACTGAAATCTTTTCCAGCGTCACTCAGGATAGCAGAGATGCTGCAGTTGGAATGGCCCAATATCAGAGCTACTTCTTTCCCATCTCTTTGCCTGGATGCCAGAAGAAGAAAGTAATTGTAGTGAACTTCCATCTCTGTGGTTTGGGTTACATGCAATACTCTCATTCATTCATATAGGATTTGTGGTTATTCTCTAGTAAATGGGAAATTTATCTCCTTAATAACTGGAGATATGGACGAATCTTTTGCTCGGGGCCTTTATCTAATTTATTTGCTGTCCATGTCACAGTTAAAGACAATGCTTTACATTGGACCTGGGCATTTTGCAATCTATGGGTTGTGTGTAGTCCCTGTCCATTTTACAGCATCAGTGTTGGGCAGGGTGGTGGCAGCATTGGGGGTGGGGGGCAGCAGGGGCAGTCCTCTACAACAGTCTCAGTTTCTCATGTGGCTCCTTGAAAAATTAATTGCCCAGCCCTGTTTTCCATGTTTCAAGCTAGAAATTTTTAATAATTATAACTGCCAGCTAATTTAGAAAACTAATCGTATAAAAGTGGGATTTGATGATGGCTTAGTAGCTTGTAAATAGATGTGTCATTTATATAACGTAAGAGTTTTTGCATTATTGTGATGACATATTAGTATTATAAACCAACTCAAAGGCAGAATTCGTATGATATCATTTTGGAAATCCTGAAGATGCCTTACTCTCTCTCTCTCTCTTCAGTAATAGATGGACTGTCACCAAAATTAATCATTAATACAAGGTTGCGCTTAAGTTATTTTTAGTATGTGGTTTCTTAAAATCACATCTTCCTTTCCCCAATTATTGGATATGATATTACATGTATCGTGGTGATAAGTTTGTTACCCAGTTTTTTTTTAAAAAAGAAGACAGTGAAAGATTGGAAGATTTCCCCTCTTTCTTTTCTCCAGAGCAATGTATTTCATTTCTTAAAATAATTGTTTAATTTTATTTATTTTAATAATTTCATTTTCAAAATTATTTGGGGCAAATATAGCCTTCAATGGCGAATGCACATTCCCCATGAATTGTGGCATTTTTAGAAATACTTATTTTAGGAAAAGAATGACAGCTATTATTATACATTTTTCTAAATATTAATGTTTATAACAGTAATAATTATTGGAGAAAAAAGAAAAACTTAATTGGGGTTTTATTTTTCCTATTGAAGCATCTCTAAATTTAGGAGAATGGCTGTTTCTTAAACTGGAACCCTGCATTCAGTACTGAAAGTCTTTCACTTACTGCAAAATTTGTTATCCTACCTAGTGTGGGAGAAAAAAACTTGCCCGCAAATTTCAGCCTTTGTCTTGCCTTAATATACAGATGTTAATTTACTTCTCTTTTTGTGAACTCTGGGTAATAGCCATAGCTACATAACATCTCCTTTATTTATTTATTAGATTTATATTTTCCCTTAATTTTATACAGCTCCGGTCAGTGTATCCTTTTATTTTTTCCATCACAATAACCTTGAGTTGTGGGTTGGATTTAGAGAAAGATTTCTCCGAGATCACCCAGTTTGCTTCCATGCTTAAGAGAGAACTCACAGTATCCTGGGTTTGGTCCAGCATCTTAACTATATTCCAAACTGGCTCTTATGGGACCACAAAGAATAGGTAGCCTGTACAATAAAGGAAACTAGCAACAAAACATTTTAGCCTTCCACTGTCTATAGCTGTGGAAATGATAACCAATGTCCAGGTTGCTTTGGTAGGTAATTAATAGTCCTTCTTTCCTGTTCCCCACGCTTCCTCTGAAAGGGGGTAGGAGGCTCTGAAACAATTAAACCAATTGAGCCCTTTACATTTTGAAGAGGAAGGGATCACCATTTTTCTCCAAAATAGTTTCTAAAGAATGCCATATACAAGATAGATGCCATTCTTCCACAGAGACAGGAAAAGCAAATTATTCCACTGTTGACAACAGATTTGTAGATCTTAGAAATGTTGATCCAAGGTTTCGGCTTAGCATTCATTAGGTTTCTTCACTTAATTCTTCCCTTAGATCCTACCAAAAAGAAAAAGAAACAGATCATAGGCATGTTTCCTTAAAAGAAGGCAAGCACACTAGTGTCATTAGTTGGGAAGTATTCAGACTCCTGTTCAAACTATAGCTCTAAAAAAGAACAAGGGCCAGCTAAAATTTAAAATTTATAAACTGAAACAACACTGTTGATGCTGCATGGTAATACTGAGATCCAGAAAGGAGATGAATTAGCATTCCTCACTTGTAGAAGGCATACTTACATATCCCCGTTAATCTGACCTGAAAAAAATCCTGGGTAAGTTGTAGAGGTATTTGCCAATCACAATAAAGAAAAATATTATCTCAGATGGTGCTTCTTTACAGCAATGGCCCCCAGCCTTTTGGGCAGTGAACTGGTTCCATGAAGAGAGATTTTTCTGCAGACCAGAGGGGCGTGATTTTTGTGTGTTACCTGCATCTGGTGGATGTAGCTTCACTTGTTTGCACGGCCCTGTTTCTGGCATGTCATAGACTGGTGCCAGTCCACGAACCAGGGGATGGAGCTCTCTGTTCTACAGCATTATTGGAATGTTAAACATTTATGGTCTTCTACTAATCCAGCTTCAGTGTGGAGTGTCTTGCCTAAGTGGAGAATCTCAGAAAGTCTGGCTAACTAGTGAAGTAAAGTGAAGCACTGCTTTCTTGGAAATGAGAGCAGCTTGCGTCATCAGATAATCGCCCGGCCACCCTCTTCAGGGTGACCCGCTCTCTCCTTCAGTTGAGGGGGGGAGGGGATTCCCTGGAGGGGAGGGCCGAGGATTTTGCTCAATATCTGTATGACAAAGTCGCTCGGATTCGAGAAGGTCT